CAGCGTAGTATTACACAGTGCACGCACGCTGATAATTACCGCTCATAGACTAAATTCAGAAACACAGATTTGTCTATTATAATCAATAGTGCCTCTTTATAGGAACTGTGCAAGTGGAGGCATTCTAAAATCAAACGGGCATCATTTACGCTGTATAGTACATGCGTTGTTAGCCAGTATTCCGAGGTGGCCTTGGCCTACAAGTACACTAAATAGCTACCAAATAGGGTCACGGTATAGGGTGCGGGTTGGGACCATGCATGCGCGAAAAGCCTTTTGATTATATCGATAGACAAGATTCTGTCTCTGAAAGACAGTCAGCGAAGTTAGGGGTAGATAGCAAGAGCGAGAGAGAGAGAGAGAGAGAGAGAGAGAGAGAGAGAGAGAGAGAGAGAGAGAGAGAGAGAGAGAGAGAGAGAGACCATAGGTTGTGACCACGTACGCGATATCTGGCCCAGTGAACGCAGCAGCTCGACTCGCACCTACAATGTGCGATCGCTATTGCATTATTCACAAATATGCATTTTATAGCGTTGCGTAGGATATAATCCACCAGTCCTGCATTAACTGCTCTTTTACAATCTAGACGTTGTCCTTCGCATGTGCTAGACACTGTGCATGTGCACGTGCATGTGCATGTGCACGAGACGACTCGGGATTATTTCCATATTACGTATACAGTATGGATAGTGAGCGTCTAGGTACAATCGACAGTCATATTACAATAGTAATAACTGATGAATTGTAATCGCAGAACTACAGGTATAGCCTACTATTTTTGGTGTCAGATCCCTCAGTAGTATAGCGTTTAAAATTATTAGGTTACATGCTCCATGCAGAAATCGGAAATGAACATTATTTACTTGTAGATTTTGGCAAAATCCTAGCAGCCCAAAATTGCTGCAATTTTCCTCGATTTACCAATTTACCTAAAATTATAAAAATTACAAATAATTATTTATAAATAATTAGATACCAATGTAACCCCTTCGTTATACCAGAGTGTATGTAGGGGCCTATAATATAATTTGGAATTTTAGATTCAGCAAACAAATCTTACTTTCAATAAAAACAATTAATACACCAAAACAGAACAACGCAGATACAGACGTTCACGTAACTGTCTCCTGCCCAACTCCCTCCACTCCTGACTCTCCGCCTCCAAATCCGAACAAAGTATATATTGCCCCATTATTCTACTACAAATTGCCCCCACATGTCCACTTAAACCGGAGCCCTCCTTCCGCGCCTCCGATTCACAATGTAACACTAAATACTCGAAATGGTCCGATTACAAGCCTGCGCACGAACATCAGTACGCGCCCGCCCGTCTGCCAGATTAGTAGGCCTACTAAATAATCAAGTCCCGGAATCACAATTTAAATTAGTCTGAAACTAGCCTAGCTCCTAAATACAAAATCTGTAAAACATACGCTACACCAATTTACCTAAGGCTGGTTAACTTATGGTAACCGAGTTATTACACATTTTCATCCAATATCGATAAATTGGGTCGGGCCTGCTAAATTTCTCAAAAAGAACGGAAAAATAAGAGGTGCGACGCTGCCTTTTAAACATAGAGATAAGCATTAGCAATAAGAAAAGCCTAATGGTTTGCACAAAGCAGGCGTCGGAATTCTATTTGCTAATTACAAGTGACCTGCGCCCTATATAGTACGCACCGCATGAATTCCATTCGCGTTCGCACACGATGAGCGTCGGAAAAGATTTGTCTGCGAAATTAGTGAGCTGGCGTTAAAGGTCTCCTTTAGTGATAAAAAATTGTTACATATATCAAATTATCTATGTTATGTACAACTACTAAGAAATTGACAGGTTGAATGGTTTTCGAATGTATGAGAAAAACGCATTTTTTGATGGACACAATGTTAAGAATTTGCGGGCTCGCTGTGAAAAGCCTAGCCTGATGCTCGTCTAGCCTATAGCCTACGAGCACAACTGTTGACAGTGCAACGCTCCGTTTAATAACGCACGCATCATTCACTCGTTTACAGCCGCTCCATTATCGCGACGTCGTCCTATTGCCAACCGCGCTCTGTCAACAAACGCGAAAACCGCGCGCACACAACACGACCTCGGGTCCGTTTGAACCAGAGGGGGCATGCAAGCTGACAAGGTCGTCATCGTCTGCGGACTCAAACAATTTGTTTCCTTTAGAAAATGTAAAATTAATATCACGCTGACGTGCGGTGTCGCGCGGAGTGGCAGACAGAGATAGCAGGCGCCTCGCGTAAGACCACGGAAGTCACGGCGCCCGCCATGCTGCCTGCCGGTAGCAACGTGACAATAAATTGCTCAGCGTTGTCTAAACCACCTGCGAGACTTTCATCAGTGTGGCGTGACAGCTCGCTTCGAGAGCTGGTAGACGTGAAGATCGAGTGATAAATGATTTGCGTCAATGGCAGCGGGGGTGACAACAACGCCCACCAGCCCCACCAACATCGCTCGTTGGTTTACGTGGTCTCCATTCGGAGCGCCACCGTCACCAGCGTCATCAGCAGCGTTCGTTGGTTCCCGTGGTCTCCACTCGGAGCGCCACCTTCACCAGCGCCACCAACAGTGTTCGCTGTTAACAGTATCATCTAGGGCGCCACGGTCAATGGCACTGACAACACGAACATCAAACACACACACACACACACACACACACACACACACACGCACACACACACGCACGCGCACACGCACGCGCACGGCGCAACAGCGACGAACACGCACGACGCAGCAGCGCACGAACGGCACGACCACAGCAAGGCACACAGCAACACACACACACACACACACACACACACACATACACAGGCCGACACCATCACGAAAGGGTAAGAAATGTAAACGCACGTCACACGTCGTACATTTCGCGGTCTATAGAGTTTGATCGAACGGTTACTAGTAACAAACTATGCGTTTAAATTCACTAACAGGATAAATATGTGTACTTTACAACGTAAATAAAGGCCCGTACAATATTATCGTACATAATGTCCCTCATATTCCCGCACGTTGATATACACCAACACGAGAAACATTATTATTTTGCAACATAAATTTAATTAGTATAAAATTAGTAGTTTTATATATAATAGTATACACTGCTGTCACTAGTATTACTAACATTATTTTAGTTGTTTAGTAGTATAATTGTAGTAGGCCTACTGCTACGACTACATGTAGTAGGCCTACTATACTCGATACAAAAATGTAACCCAAAAAATTGATGGTAAGCTAACCCTACCCAGTGGGGTGACATTATAATAAGAAGTAGTAGGTCTAATAGTAATAAAAGTCTAGTGAAGGTTAAAATACTCAAGGCCTATCGAAAATTTTATCTGTAAACAATATCAGTAATTAAAATGTATATATTTATATATTAAACATAAACTTATTAGATCGACACTTGTACGACAATATTACTAACTATTTTTCATGTATATACTAGTTGATACAAGCCTACAGACACTACGCTGATACTACGTCTGATCCACGGTTATTTATTCATTTAGCTCAACAGGTGTCAGTACTGATGTTCTGTATGAAAACGTTGTTTGTGGTGGATGTTGTACAGACTTCTACTATTTATTAAACTGCTTTACAACGGCAACCGTGACGTGCGTAGCATGTATACGATTCCCATAGCTAAGCTCTGGTTTCCATACCTACGCCACAATTATGACACGCCCCCTTTCGAATTTCGTTCATTTTACTGAATTTAAATTGCTTCCTATTTTGCTATTCCTTTCGATGTGAACAAAAACCCCTTGGCAAGCATTTAGTGTCGTGATCAATATATCAAATCACCCAGGTTTTATTGGATTTTTAACTAGTTGAGAAACAATCTTATCAGGGAAGACTTTGAATATACATTTAGTACTGTTAGTAGCTACTTTTCATGTAAAAAAATGCAACAACATTTTTACAAATATACACCCTAGAAAATTCGTGACGTAGTCAATATAATATTACTTCAAACGATCTATAAATGCAACTGTTTGTTGAAATACCTCAATGTAAGTAATAGGATAGTTAAACATTATTGTTTAATATATTTTTGGTAAGATACCCATCGTTCGGTTCGCATAGGCTTGAAGTAGGAAGCTTTAAATCAGCAAACGTTTCTCCTACGTGTATCCTTCAACATCCCATTACCAATAACCGCTTCATCTTTTTATGTCGTTAGTTTTATTTTTAAATATAAAGAGCGTGCTTTAAAATCTGCATAGCTATTTCATCTATAACGGGCCAGAAAATGTTTATCGCACATAGAAACAATGCAAACGCTGGAATATGTAGTTAACTAGTGTATAGTAATAATTTACTAGCATATAGAAGTCGGTTTACCAGTTTCCCTATATAATATTGTCTAATATTTTGTCCATTGTTACATATGCTATGCAGTGGCCCCCGCGTTATTGGACCTCGGATAAACGAGAGCACCGCATAAACGACATGTGTCTTTCGAAAACCATCCTCATGCGCGCTGTTATGTGTTCGCCGATTAATCGGGACCACCGCTTAATCGGAATATATTCATGGTCCTCAACTTGTCCCGCGGGGCCAACTAAGGCGGGGACCACTGTTAGTTACAAATGTAATTTATCGTGAAAATCTGGACGGCACTCAATGTCAGCCGTATATCTATCTATCTATCTTATCGTTAACTTGTGACGTCTATATATATATATATATATATATATATATATATATA